CAGTCTGGTCTAGGTCTAGGCTAGGGTAGTAGAGGTCTATTAATAGTTGAGAGAAATCGGTTCGGGACTTTTGGCTGTCCATTCTCGCGAAGCAGTGTTTGGAGAGGCCAAGCAAGTTGGTGGCGGTGATTGTCTACAGGCGGTATCCTGAGACCCTCGCCGTGGACGGCAGCCATAGCCGGCCCTTCTGAAGGTTGCCGGATCTGGGGCATCCTCAACGCATCTACCCCTGAGGGTATCTGCGTCTAGCTGGGCTATCTCAAGGCTCTTCACTAAGTGTTTGTGGGTGGCGGCAGCAATAGCTGCTTGTTTCTTCGTCAGAGTTGTTCACCGGCACCATCGCAGGATCTGTTCTTCATCTGGGTGGTTGGCGCTGGCCTCTAGGAGGCCATTTCGGTGTTGCGCTACTAACTGGGTGTAGGGTAGAGAATGGAGTGTGGGGTTCTGAGGGTGGTGAAATACTGGAACAAACTCTGTAACGATATCGGGTTTTCATTGGCTCTTCATCAGTGTGAATTTCCAATTGTTATCCTCGCAGGTTTCTTCTTGAGATTGGTTGTTGGGAGTCTGTCAGAGAGTGAGAAACCCAGGGTGTCTTCTCCCCATCTGTGCATGGCTGAACTTTCGCTGTTTACTCTGATCTGTGTACAGTTTGGACTCTGTCTCCTCTCCCCCATCTCTTATGCATGCATGGGCGTGTATGACACTGTCTGTGTGTGAGTGGCGGTGAAAATCGTCAGACAACCAAGATCATAACATAAGCACCCCCGTCACTCTCCTCCTTGCTCACCTTCTTCTTCCTCCTCCTCCTATACCCCAGAGCCTTCCTCCTTGGCCCACTGCACCATAACCAAGGTAGGCGGCCAAGTCCGCCTTCTTCCTCCCCGGTGCTGGACTGCCCAGCACTCGCTACAGCAGCGTGACGCCAAACATGCACTCGTCAAAATGAGGAAGAGCTCATCGCTCTTTCGAAACATATACAGGGCAGCATCCTGCTTGGGTGGTGACTTTCCAGACCGCTTGGCCTCCCAAACATCCGGTACCTTCCTCCTTTGGAGGGAAACATCATTGCAGGTCTGATATCATCCGCTACAGGCCCTGGACTTGGACTACTAGACCGGTACCCCTAGACCGAAGCCTACCGGACTTAAGTTCACTCGGCCTCGAAAGGTACTAACCTTTTGTCTTCTTCTGCCTACCTACCTCTACTCAAGTATTTTCTAAGCTATGCGGGAGTAGCCCACCCACTACTCGAGTGCTTCCGGCTATTTGTGGGCCTAGCCTACTGCTACGTCCCCTCTGCAACCCCACAAAAGCACGCCCACAGGGAAGTATCAGGCCTAAGGGCCTTCCAAGCATACAAGTACCCTGGCTGGTCACACACACATCCCAGCAATCATGCACTCAGAGAACCACATGGGAACCAGCAAGCACGCACACACACAGACTTAGAAAACTCAGCAGAAAGCGGGAATCTCAGCAAGTCACGCATTCCAGCGGCAAAACTCAGATA